GTAAACACCTTTCAAAAATAATTTAATGTTCTACTGAATCACAGCCATTTGTTATATTAGTGAAAGTGAAATAACAGACTTTTTAAAAAATTTGTGGCTTTTTATTTGTTTAATTATTGTTCAATCACTTTTTAATTATGCATTTTTTAGGTTAAGAAATAAGGTTACAATGAAAATGTGGAATTTGGGGGGGAAATGGAAAAAGTGGAATTTAGAAAAATTAAAATGGAAAAAACTAAGTTTTGTAAAAAATAAAACGGACTTTATAGGGCCCTATTTACACTGTTTTGTGTTGTGAATCCAGTGCCACTGCCAGCAGTATGCTGCAGGCTCCTCCAACAGAAAAAATGAAACTTTGTCTAATTTTTTCAAAATATTTGAAATCCTTAGGGAAACATTGTTTAACAGCCATTGTTTATGTACAATAAATTCATGTTATCAAAGTGAATGAATAATTTTGTTTTAATTTTGTTTACTAGATCTCAATTTCAATCAAAGTAAGTAAATTCATGTACATATGTAAATGGTTGTGTTGATACCGTTATTATTAACTGTTTATTATGGCTGAGCTATTATAATGCTATTGTAATGGAAAAAAGGAGACTAATGGCCCTTTTCCACTAGCGCCTCAACAGCATGGTTCCACTTCACTCAGCATTGAATGGTTTTCCATTACACTTCAGCAACAGCTCAAGTGGGTGTGTTCATTGTAAGGCTGGGTGGTCCCAGAGTCCGAAAACAGACACCACACCACTTACCAGTTGGTGGGAGATATGCTCCATTAAGCTATTTGCCAACTGCCATTAAACATAGTAGAAGAAGTAGACCCCCAAAAAGTAGACCCCCCAAAAGATAGATACACAACAATGGAGGACATGTAGCGTTATTATTGTGAAAGGCATATTAGGTTGTTGTGAAAGTAGTGCACAACCAGTGACTCCACCCAGTATGTTTACCTCCCAGAGTAGAGGGGAGGCAGGCATTAAAATTCATGATAAATTACTTTTACAATGATTAGATCTTTTAAATTGCTTTTTCTGACATTAAGTGATATGTTATATTTACAAGAGTAAGTGTTTAAAGACAATGGGCCTCATGCAAGAACATTTTTGTTTTCTTATCCTAAATTTCTCTTACTTTTGTTCATATGAAGGGTTYGTATGAACATGTCACGTCAGATTCAAAAATGACAACAGTGCACAAATTTATGCATCTGCCTAATTTTGTTTAACCAATTATTGCACACTTTCTGTAAATCATATAAACTTCATTTCACTTCTCAAATATCATCTTTGTCCCATTTATGATATACTGTATTTTACTGATTTGTTTTATCCAAACAATGATTTATAAAGGTAAATCAGGAAAATTAATAAGGCTGCCAAAACTTTCACACCCCAATAAATAAAAACTTAAAGGGATCCACGATTAGTTGTAACATTAGATTTTATTTGATAAACATACACTTTAACTGTAAAACAAAGACTGTAAAAATACTGTAGGCTGTTCGGTTTAGTAATTTTTTAAAATATATTTTAACACAGACTGAGCCATTTTATTTACATGCAAAGCATTCTGGGTAAATGATGACGTCGACAGGTCCTCGGTGTGAGCGAGCTATATCCACCCTGAAGGTTAATCTTGGACAATATCTGATGATCGACTCTTTTAAATGAAACCAGAGAGCGTTGACAGAGAGGAGAAGGTAGAAATGACTCAGCCTGGAACTGAAAATATGGATGGAGGACAACAGAGCTGCTTCATGGAAGAAGAACCTCAGCTTAGCCTCTTAGCTTTAGCACCGATTCTATATTGCCTTATATGTATTAGCTCAGCACTAGTGTGACAAACTAACAAGCTAAACTGAGGTCCTTACTTAAAAATTAGCTTGCAAATCTATTTCACCAATGCTACATTAAAAACACTATGACATGGCCATACATATGACATGTCAATGTTTTCGTAATGTTTATTATTTTTTCAGAGATCTTTTTGTCAATCGTAGCACAGCTACACCCAGCAGCATGAAATTTGGTAGGAATACAGATGTTGCCGACCTACCCTGCGCTAGCAAACCGTTTTGTGATAGACCCCATATTTCAAGTGATGGCGCTATTTGAAACGCTGACAAAAAAATTCTTGAAAACTACTCAACATAGGAACTTCAGAATTTTGTTATTGCTTAGCACTGATGAAGGGTTATCATTTCATGATATAAATATGTGTTTCTATACAACTGCCACTTAGCAGTAGGCAAAAAATAAAAACACAACTGAAAATTGTTCTTTCAAGCCTGTACATCCATAAACATGATCAGATCTTGATGAACACTAACTAAGAGTCCAATAGCCCCATTTGCATGTTCATTAACTCCACACAGAATGTCCTCCACCCAAAACAGCTTCGACTCAAAACGGTCTCTGTGGATCATTTCTATGAAGCATCTACAGTCCAATTTCCCRGACAGATTAGTACATATATGACATTATGCATGTGAATGTGGTTTGTTTCATTATCACTCTACTCAAATAGACAATGGAGAACAGACCTTGGGTCACATTTATAAAGGTTTGCATGGAGACCATACTAAAAGTGAACGTGCGGCCAAAAGACGAAAATGGCATACGCCAAAAAAAATCAGATTTATAAAATTTTGCAGGTTTAAAGACGTTTAGAGTAATCTAATGTTTTTTTTATCAAAAACTCAGCTTCAAAATAATTTTCTATCAGAGACTGCTGGACGATAAAAACAATAAACTAGAAGCACTTGGAGAGTGCAAACCTCCGCCAAGACCAATTTCCTGCATCCTGCAATAGAGTATTTTGCAGATACCACCATCTTTGMCTAACGTAAAGCATCATGGTCCAGTTTGGGGGCAGATTTCTATTCTGTGTTCTAAGCTATAGACCTTCATGAAGCTCTAAAGCTCCCACTCCAAATATKTYCAWCTGACAAAGCCTCCCTGATGGGAAGAGAAACATCTACAGTTTCAAAATAGAAGTCCAGTTATAATAGCTTAAAAATATTGATTTATTTAATGCCTCTAACC